AAAAATTTGACTTACACCACTGTGGTTTTTACCCCTCCATATGTATATGTAGTGTCTCGTGTGTAAAAGACATACATTCGACATGCGTATGTCGCGCATTTCGATATTTAATATAATTTGATAAATAAATCACATGACAGATTGCACATATTGCGGAGAGATAATATTGTGGAATACTAGGCGGTTTGCGATCACGTTTTTAAAATGCGTTCGGTGACGGTTGCTAAGTATATCTACTTTGTATATAGTACATATCCTCTTATGAGATACTACATGCGGAGTGTCTTATCTAATTTGATCACCTGCGATATCTTTGTTACATTTAAAGGTATGGAAAAAAAGAAGTAACGAAGAAGTTGTTTCGATTAAAAAAAAAAAAGACAAATATTATGATCTTCATACGTGTAAACAAAATTTTTTTATTCATGTAAAAGTACTAAGAATGTAAAAAAAATTAATGATCTAATGAAATGTTTCCTACTTTGTTCTGTGTGATTCTTACATAAAATGTTAAACGTCTAAATATATAAGCTATATATAAAAAGTACTCACTTTTTAAGTCCACACCTTTAAACAATTGTTTTTTTTAATGTCTATTTTGTACGAATATGCGGAATTATTAGGAAAATTACATGAAATTATACAACAATTATATTTTTATATAAAAGTCATATTATAAAGATGTTTTCTCCATGTAACAATATGTTTTTTATATAAATATTTCTATAGAAAACTAGTTGATATGTATTTAAATAAATAAGCTTTAAATCATTACCTGCTAAAAGAAAGGTCAATGATTTTGAGAACAAAGTCCTGGAAACAGGGACTAAAAAAAATTTGTCCGTTAAATGTTTGTCCTTTCGAGTCGACTTCTCCGTTATACATTTCTCTATACCTGTCGAAAATAACAAACGTATTACAGACGGTTGAGTTATAGGTGAATCCTGTGTATTAGTCTGTTCACATGTGTTTTAGCCCATTAAACTCGCTAGTGAAGAAATGGCATAAATTTTTCAAAAGACATCTCTAACTCAATGCAACTTTAAAACGCAACGACTATCGCCCGCAAGTCTCGTTGTTGCGCAATAAAATGCAACACGTGATTCAGAAATCCAACAAAGTGCAAGCTTATCTACCTGTACATTTGTAATTAACATAATGGTAAAACGATGTTTTAAACGATATGTTTAAATCGGGAGTACCTATGCGCATCTATCTTTACGATTGTATCATCTGTATCATCCGTTTGTGTCTTAACGTTCGTTGATTCGTTACTCTCGTTATATTTGCTCCAAAAGTCCATTATTTCTATTAATTTCGAACCGTATGACACACCTCATGTTCTCCGGAAAATTTCGCATCGCAGGGGGGTGAGTCATGCGACAGTGGCCATAACTCACTCCCGATGCGAAGTTTTCTCCACGAAAAATACAAATTGTGCTTTAAATAATGAAAATGCATTTGTTATAAGCGAGACACGGATCCCCTCCCATATTCTCTCTTTGCGTTACTAATGCGAGTGAAACTCTTAAAACGTTCATACACTTATACTACGAGATTTAATACGATAATCTTTCAAAGAGACGCGTGTATGCGTTGCGTTTTGTACGAAAAGAATTTTTTAAGTAAAAATTCATGTAAAACGTGAGTTGTATCCGTTATTTGATTGCCAGCTCGACGCGTTTTCTGAATTTGAGTGACATATCCTCGTCGCTTTTTTCCTGCTACACGTATACTGATATTAATCATGAGCATTAGTCAACGTTAGGCAACAAGTGCGTCGCACGCTACACACGTGGAATTGTTATGGAATCGAATACACCTTGCACTCTTTTTCCTTTAGATAGTTTTAGATATCCAGAACGTTAAGAACTATAATAACTACATTATAGAGCTCT